AAAATACACAACCAGCGTCATGAATATGCAGAGATTATTTGTGGTCTGATCACGCTTCTTGACTCTGGTACTCTACAACCTGTAAAATCAAGAGCTTGGTTCAATTATTTTGTATCAGCAGTTATCTTACACAATTTGTATCTCAATTAGTACACCACGCCTATGTGTCTCACCATAGCTGGGCAAACTGAAAAAATAAAATAATCCTTTCAAGGCACCAAGTAGATGCTATACAAGAATACGAAATGTTGAGAAATCTGGATCAGCAGACCAGTATTTTCTCAGAAGACTGAACAATAAATGGAGATCAGAATCTCAGTGATGTGTATTTCATGGATGACTGACAAATCACATATGCTACACAAAGTAGGCACTGTCAGCCAAATGGCTCAATGCTAACAGCCCTGAATTTTTACTGTAAGTGCAAATATTGGTACTACTCACTCTACATGGTTGCTGTTTGGGGAAAGTAGGTATTTCAACTCTATAGAAATAAAAATGCTTGGTAGGTCTAAAATAAAACAACATTAGAAGGAAACACTTGGGAAAAACTAAAGATTGTCTTTAGGCTGGCAACAGAGCAAGGCTTTGTTGTATTAGACTAACAATCTTTATAATACTGTATCTGTACTATCACTGGCTGTTCTTACCTATAGGTATCAGTTCTTCTGAAGACTGCTAAAATTCTTGCCATTGAAACTTCTGAGGCAAAAGTGAAGCCAGAATGGCTATATTTTGTTATATTTTTGAGAAAAAAACATAGTTTTTAGTTTGAAATTTTTCGTGTTTAAATTCTTGAACTGTGCCCTAAATTTTATAGAGGGTTTTGCTTTATCTTCTCTGAAACAGAGAAATTTTGTATTTTATTAAATATGACTTCCTCCATGTATTTTATTCCTTTTCCTTGGTATTTAATCCTATTCCTAGAGTACTTTTCATTGATCCTAATTTCCTCCTGAACTCCATTTTTTTGAGATAAGGTGAAAGACCTAATGCAGAATTACAACAGAAGATGTATTATTGATTTGTTTCACTGACTTCATATTAGAGTTCTAGGAAAAAATTACCATATTCTCAATGTTGAATATGTAATAAACAGAATGGTTTTTTCAAAACATTTGCTACTGGCTATCAAATTGAGAGTTTTTTCCTCCCCCTTATATTGGTTTGGAACCCATAAGGAGCATAAATGACTCATATAATTTCTTCAACTGATTATTTTGAATGTAACATCATGAAATTTTACCAACATTGTTCTGCTCATCTCTTCTCTTAGTCGATCTCACTAGTATTTCTTATGGCCTCCTCTACTTTTATCTAAATTGCATGTTAGCAAGTTTATCAGACTATATATCTGATAACAATATGACAGAATCCCATAAGTTATTACATAGATGTAAATCTTTAATAGTCTATTGTATTAACTCAGAGAAATTCCAAGTCTATACCAAAGCTACTGATAGCCAGCAGCATTTTGAAAATCAGGCAAATAACCTCTCATCTGTATTTTAAAAAGTTTAATTTCCAACAGGCTACTACAGTAAATGAAAAAATCAAATCCAAACCCCTAACTGGAAATGGCTCTCAAACTTGGTTAATCTGAAATCTAAATTTTCATTTAGAGAAATGGAAAGACAAAGAGTAGCTGAAGGCCACTATTAAATTGTGCCTTAATTAACTTCATAATTTACCAATTTAAATAAAATTTGTCACTTAAGACTTCAAGTAAGTCTTCTTGGACTCAGAACACTAATACGAAACCATTGAAACAAAAGAATGATACACCTTATTTTGAGAATCTCTGCTTAACAAAAATTGCCTTAGCATACTGGAACACTTTACTATGAAGTGAATAACAGCAAACATTTTGAAATTTTTTGTAGAAGTAATAATCTAAGCAAATAATTGTCAATATACAAAGCCACATAGCTCCTGTTTTCATTATTGAGTAGCCCTACTCTAAAATATACCCTGTGTATTAATTTTTTCAAAGCTTCCTTTAAAAAACCTTCTACATAATCCTTTGAAGATTCAGAAAACTTTGGTGACATCAAATAGACGTGAAAATAGATATGGCAAATATCCAAGAGTCTCTGTGAAGAAAAGCCCAATGGCAAACAATTAAGTACAGCAGTTTAATATTTTTCTCAATATCCTCTGGATGGTTGGGAAATGTATTCAGCATAGTTGAATTGTCAAACTGATCCAGGAAATTTAATTGAAAGTCTTTTACAAAATAGAGGAGCACAAATAAATTTGCTTTAAAACAAAACAAAACAAACCCAAACAAAATCCCCAGCATGAACCAGTTGATTTCCTCTATTCAGTGGGAATAACATAGGCCTTATTCTTAGTTTCTCTTTGTAAGGGAAGGTTATGTACTCAAAGATGTTACAGTGAAACCAAAAGAATGTCATGGCTGGTGCAAATCATATTTATTTGGGTAACTGCATATTGAAGAGGATTTTAGGTTCATTGAATGAGCTCCAACAAGGCTCATTTACTGCTCAAAATATAAATGACATATAGATCTACTTTCAAAGGCCCGATAGTAGATTTGCAACTAATTATTTGTTTTTACACAAAAGTTAATGTTGTCTTCGTAAGTGTTGTGATTTTACTTTACTCTTTCAGCTGCTGGGGAGGAAAACAGATAGAAAACATTTTTCAGAGCCTAATCTATTTGTGTCCTTTCTTAAAAATGTTAATTTGTCTGGGCTGAGAGTGATTTGGGTAATACAGATGCCTAGTTCTATGCTCCTCTTCACCACCAGTGAGAAGCAAGCAGGAGTAGCAGGAAATATTTTCAAAAATAGTGGAGTGGGAAGACATGCATGTTCTGTGGTAAAGGGCACATTGAAATGGGAAATAAAGAATAGAAGCATTCTATAATTCTAATATAATTAGAATAGAATAAAATATTAGAATAGAATAAAAATATTCTATCATTTTAATATTCACTATTTAATATCAGATAAGGGCAGAATACAAAGCAGGTAAGCACTGTATTACAAACCTCATAGTAGAAAGTTCAGGTGGGTTACCGATGCAGGGTGCAGAAAAGATACGGAGGTATTCCTGGCATGAAGCAAGAACAAGTGAGTATTTAAATGAATTTTGATGTGAAGCTCCAAGTTATTGTTTGAAACTACAGAAGGAATTTGCTCATAGTAGTATTGTATTTTAGCATGTGTGGTTCCTTCTGCATGAAGTTAACACAAGTGATAATAATAAAAACTGTTGCTGGCCTCACAAGCACTCATCACACTTTTTGCCCTTGTAAGGTTTATGGTTGGTTTCAAGAATAAGAATGAACAAGCAACTAGTGGTGATAATTCTCAGTGAGGTGGAGAAAACCCACCAAAAAAGCCCTGTTCAAGTAACTGACCAACCAACCAAACCCAGGGAAAGCTTAGTCACTGCTTTATGTTGCTCTCAGCCACCCCCTGCCCGTATCATGCTTCAAATATTCAGCTACATTGTTCAGCTTGACAATTTACAAACCCTAAATACTTTTCTTTGTCTCTAGAGAAAAGGAGAAGAGCAAATTTCAAAAGAAACAGAAAGGCTTTTCATGTCAAGTACTGCTGCTACTAGGGTCCAAATAATGTATTTTCTGTGCACAAGGTATAAAATCATACTGACACAAGAAAAACACTGGCTAAAATATATCATTAAAAAAACCCCAAAAACACAAACAAAAAACCCTACCCCAAACCCTCCAACCAACCAATTCCAAAAGTGCAGAAAGAAACCAGAAAATTCAAGAAGGAACCAAAGACACTACATTCTTATCTGTCAAAGCTATCCAGTAATTAAAGAGAATTCTAATATATCTGTATTTGGATATTTACAGAGCTTATAGAGCTTTTTAGGGGGGGAACAGGAGGATGGAAGAAAAAAAAAAAAAAGGCCAAGTTAGGGTAAAAAAAGACATCCCAAACCAGCAACTCTTGGGATCAGTCCCTTGCTTAGTATAGCTGATGCGTAAAATACACAGCAACAGGAAAATCTATGAAACTTTATTCTTCCTCTTCTTTTTTTGTAAAATTAATTTAGCAATTGTGTGTGAATATTAACATTTTAAAGTCACAAAATAAAATAAATCCATTGCTATTTTTTCCTATTTTTAATGAAGACCTTTCAGAGGAATTTCTCCTGAAAACACTAAATCTTGCTGACAAAGCAGCACTGATGTATTTTATTTTAGAATAATGTAAGGTGAAAAGATCACGTGAATGAAAAGGGATTATTAGAAAGCAAAACAATAAAGACAGTAAAAATTCAGAGATTATATTTTTCTCCACTTGTGTACATTATAAAAAAAAAATCTTAATTTTAACTGAAAGAATTAAAAAAACCTTTAAAAATCTCAGAAAAATTAATGGAATATTTGTTACTGTTGTGTTGTTGGAATTTGAAGGACTCATTCTAACATTAATCATCAAACAATAATAATTAGGTATTTTTTCTTGTGTGTGACTTTCTTGTTGTGCACACATAAAAAAAATCCCATCAGATTTCATCTGTAAAAAGAAAGTGGAATGTATGTTTTTTAAAGCTGTTTATTAAATATTTCTTGTAGTATGCAGTGCTCAAGCTCAAGTCTGGGACTATGATTTCATTTTGGTAGGTGATCTAAAAAAATTAAATAAAAGACACAATCCTTATTTTATTGTCAAAACACCGAGAACTTTTTGATGCTGTGGGCTGCATTTTGAACTACAACAGAAAAAGTTATGAGTTGCCAAAAGAACAAGCAGGGTCAATATATCTAGGAGAGTTTTTCCTCTACTTTCAAACTCCTTAACTGTTAAAATTTCTCTATTGCTTGGTTTACAGTTTCAGTGATGTCATACTTCAGTATACTTTCTTTTATGTAAACATCAAGGGAAATTAAACTGTTAATCACATTATTCATGTAGCCCTTTGTTGTGAGAATCACCTACAAAAGATATTACAATACGTATTTTACATCACTAAGAAAAGATTCAAGTCACTTTATTTTTAAAATCTTTATTAGACATTAAATATGCTTTCATTTCTGTTTCAATTACTTGAAGTGTGGATTTAAAATTAAGCTGAATCAGAGTGGTTATTGTTACAAATCTGGGGAAAGGGAGATACATGTACATTTTTAAACACATAGTGATTATTGCTACAGATGTAGCAATCAAATCGAGTACATACAGTCTTGCTTTTTTTTTTTTTAAAAAAATAATGTCTCCTACAAAATACATTTACCCTTATGATAACGATTTCCAGATTAGGATTTTAAATATTTTTTATGACATGGTATAATTGTGTGTAAAAAATGCACAGCATCTAGACATCCACTATATAAAAATAATTTTTATAATAAGACAATAGAAATAAGTGATATTTTAGCCTCCTTTCTTTAACCTTTCAGGGTAACATTTCTTCAATAAAGCAGAAGGGTGATTGCATCGAAGCTTTCTCACCATGTCAAGCACAAAGCTCAAGCTCATGCACTGAGCTTGCAGGCATTGGAAACACGTATAAAAATGCTCAACTCATGTTACCCTCTGCTACCCAGCTGCACAGAAATGTTCAAATTTAATTTTGTTGGAAGTTAGATAGTTGAGAATTTCAGGGGGTTTTATGTACAGTAAAAAAATAGTTCTTTGTCTAGTTTCTATATAATTTCAAATATACTTTTGTCTTTGCTTCACAAGTTGCATCAGTTAATAACTGAGGCTAAAGGAATATTAAAAAATTACAGCTTCTCCTGTTTACACTGATCCCTGCTAAATTAATTCTTATTGTGCACAAACACATTCGTTCTTGCAAGGCCCAAACGCGACCTGAAAAAGCGCAGACACGTTGCAAAACATAAAGACAACCGAGATCATGCTCCTTTAAATCCTTCACCAGATATGGATTTTTAAAAAAGCTAATTATCAGTAGACATCTGCTTAGTTTTTATTTTCCTTTTTCCTGTAAGCAGTAAAGAAACAGAGCACAAACTAGAACGTTTTATTCAGTATCCTCAAGCTAGCAAATATTAAATAAAGAAACGATTTAACCGCTAACCGGGCTCCGTACAATGTTGCAGCCTTTCAGGAACCTTCGGTAGGTTATCGATCCGCTAGTGAATTACCTCCAGTTCAGCCATAGGTTGCAGGCATCACCATCCATCGCTCGTCCTCTCGTTGACAACACTCCTCCTCTCTGCCCATCGCTCCTGGAAGGCAGGAGATTCGTCAGTCCCGTATGTCTGATCTGGTTGGCGGCAAGAGCAATGAATAAAATCGTTATCAGCTGTCGGGGTTTGTTTCGTTGTTTTGGTTTTTGCTTTTTTATTTATTTATTTTTTTTTTTAAAGGGAAGTTCTCAAAGCGAGCGCCCTGCGAGCCCTTCACCCCTCAGGCGGAGCCGCTTGGGTAGCCCCAGCGAACAACGAAGAAAGGCGCCTTTCTGGCTGTTTTGGGCTTTCTGGGATTTTCCCCCCGCTCCAGCCCCACGGCAGGAACCCGGGCACGATGTTGCAAGAATAAGAACCAACAACGCGTGACACTGTGGCACTTACGCGCAGATGCCAAAGCCCCTGGCCGAGCCCCGAGGTCCCTGGCTGGCTCCGAGGGAGCGGGCTGGGCTAGGGGGGAGCCTCGGCGAGCGGGGAGTGTGGAAGCGCCGGCCTTCCCCAGTGGGGCCGCGCTCCCCGGGGGCATTTTGGCTTCGCTCGCTTCCCATTCTTGCGACGCTAGAACTCGGGAACTTCCAGCGCCGCCGCCGCCGCGAGTCGCCGCTGCCCCGCCGCAGCCCCTCCTCCTCCCCGTGCGTCGTATCCCTCCGCGCTCCGGCACCGCGCAGAGAAAGCGCCTTTCACCGCCCGCCCGCCGCCTTCCCGCCCACCCCGCCGACATCTTCTGCCACAGCCCGCCCGCCTTCCCGCTAATAAACGCGTAGCGCTCGCCCCTCTCTCCCCTCCAGCGCCGGACAGCGCCGGGGGCCGCCGCGGCAGCGGGGCGGCAGCCGGGGGGCAGGAGAGCCCGGCTCCCCCCTTCTTCCCCCCCGGCTGCCCCCGCCAGGCAGCGCCGGGGACTGGAGGGGGGCGCGGGGGGAAGGGGCGGCGCGCGGGGCCGTGGGGGCTGAGGAGGGGGCGCGGAGGAGGAGGGGACTCTTTCTCCGGGCGGAGGGATCGCGCTCGCTCGCGCTGGCTGGCGGCGACGGCGGCGGCGTTGGCGGCGGGCGGCTGCGAGTTGTTGTTTCCTCCTCCTCCTCCTGCTGCTGCTGCTGCTGCTGCCCGTGGGTTGAATGGTGGAGCCGAGACTCTCCCCGGTGAACGAGCAGTGACAGCGACCGGGCGGGCGCATTTCGCTGAGACCCGACGCTGCCGCGGGAGCGCGGCCCGGGCAACCCCCCTTTTCCCCCTTTCCCCCCCTCCCCTCCCCGGTTTTCGCCTCGCCATGTCCGGGGACGGCGGTAGCCGGCACACGGCGGAGCTGCGAGCGGGTGAGTGGTGGCTGGCGGAGCCGGAGAGGGGCGGCGGGCAGTGGGAAGAAAGGGAAGCCCGCGGGAAAGGGGCGAGCTCCAGCCCTGACGGCCTCTCCTCTCCCCGCAGAGCTCTACTTCCTCATCGCTCGCTTTTTGGAGGACGGACCATGCCAGCAAGCGGCTCAGGTAGGGGATGGAGGGATGGATGGATGGAGGGATGGATGGATGGCGCCGCCGGGCCTGGCGGGGAGGGGGCGGCCGGGCAGGGCGGATGATCGGGCGGCGCGCTGGCCGCCTCGTCCTCCTTATCCCTTTTTCTCTCTTTTTGAAACCTTTTCTCATGCCCCGCTTTTGTTGTTGCTGCAGGTCCTGATCCGAGAAGTGGCGGAGAAAGAGGTAAGAGCGGCGCCGCGCACCCGGCACTCGCCCCGCCTGCGGCCTCCCTCCCCCTTCCCTCGCTCTCCCGCTTCCCCCGCCCCATCCCGGGCGCTGCCGGGGGGCTCCTCGGGGGAGGGGGGAGTCGCTCACGGGGCGCCCTCTCTTCCCTCCCTCAGCTGCTGCCCAAGCGCACGGACTGGACGGGCAAGGAGCATCCCCGGAGCTACGAGAACCTGGTAAGAGGAACAGGCGCTGGTAACAGGAGAGAGAGCTGCGGCGGGTAAAGTTGTTTTTCCCCCTCCCTTACTCTCACTGAGCAGCCCGGTAAAAAAAATTGAATTTCCCGCAAAAAAAAAAAAAAAAAAAAAAAAAAACTTAGGAAAAAAAAAAAGCACCAAAACTTTGGATTTCTTTTTTTTTTTTTTACATTTTTATAACATCCTCTATCCCTCGCTGCGCCCCCTCTCAGTGTCCCGGGGAGGGCTCGGGCCGGGGTCCGGCCGGTGCCCGCTCGCCCGAGTGGGGTCAACAACAACGCGCGCGCCGGGCCCTGCCGCGCTCGCTCCGCGACGTCACGGACGCGGTGCGGGCGGGCGCCACAGCCGCGCGCGCGGCGCGGCGCCGGGCGGGGCGGGGCCAGCGGCGGCGGGTGCCGGGGCGCGCGCGGCCGTGCGGGGGCGCTGTGCGCCGCCCGCCCGCCCTGCGGCCCGCGCGCGCACACACAATGGCCGCGGCCCGGCCGTCCCGCCGCGCTCCCGGCCCGCATCCGCACCGGCACCGCGCCGCGCTCAGGGGCTCTCCGGCTGCCCCCGGGCGTGCCCCGCTGCTGAGCTGCCTTCTCCGGCTCGGAGGCTTTTATACACCACTTATCTGGTGCGTGGCTATAACCGGGCTTGCCGGGGCCACATCATAAATTTGACTTAGGTGGATTTTTGGTTTGCTAAATTTTAAAATTACCTAGTGTGTGCTTTTCACCTCGGGTTAGATCAGTGATAAAATGTTACTCGAAGCGATGTAGCTCTGGCTTAGCAGAGAGGGGCCTGGATTTTTTTTCCGAACATGCTGTGAACTGCAGCAGTTGGGAAAACAGCAATTAAGGTGTATGAATTGTGTCTGTTAGCAACTTGTTGCTGGTATTGTTTTCATTGCAGGTACATTATTGTATCGTTTAGTCTCTGAATATCTGAAAACGTTTTAAGAGAAAGACTGAGCACTGTTTGTGATGCTCATCAAGGAGGGATTTCCCTTGCTGGTTGCTTATAGTAGTTCTGAACTCCAGTAACTTCTGAAACATAGATATGTTGAGAACTTTTGAACTTGCACAAAAAGAGACAGGACAGTTTCCATCTGTAATGCCTTCGATAAAGGCTGCTGCTGTATACATTTTTTTAATTCTATAACATATTGCATTATGGAGCATAGGTATTTATTGTGGTCAGAACGGGTTTACTTACAGCATTGCTTTTTTATGTAGCAAGAGTTGCACTGGCACAGGCATTTTCATATGTATGGGTTAACTGATAGCATTTAACTTGTGGAAAATAAAAGAATACATACCAGTACTTCTGAACTGTCTTGAAATCAAATATGAAGAAACTTAACTGGGAATTTTAAAGTGCATGATATATTATACTATTCTCATTTACTTGTTTATTTGTAAGCCTGGGAGGCCGTTTTACCTATTTCAAACAATGGTAGGAGTTGCTTGGTAAAACTTAATCGATAACTTTTCTCTTTTATCCTATAAATTATAAAGACTTGGAGGTATAGTTTTAATGTAGCATGGATTTGAGTTTCTCCTATATAGTCGAAATATAAAAGGATGTGCAGAAAGAAAAAGTGAGATAAAAATACATTTTAAAGGTTGAAGTAACAAAAGTTGGTGAGAAATAAGTTCATTCTGATCCTTTCCAAGAAACTTCTTTTGTTTGTGGAGTGCGGGTAAATACCAATTTAGTCAGCATAGGTATGTAATGACATAAGATGTGTTTCCTCAAAACTTGGACTTAACACTGGATACTTAGATTTGGAGAGGTGATGCTGACTAGGTCCTTTCTCTTTTGCTAGCCTTCTGTCCATAACAAAGTTTCCTTAGACTTCCTAATAACCATTTCTAAGTGCTTTCCCAGCTTGTCCCTACCTAGATATTGGGGGGGAGGTATGTGTGTAATTAGTTACTTTATTCTTGATGCTTCTCTCCATCCTGTATTTGTTGCCTCAGCTGTCAAAGCTGTGTGAACTTTATATTACTTGACATTTTAGCCATGTGAAAGCTGTCACGGAAGTGTATTTGCAGCATTAGTTACATTTTGTACAAAAGAAGAGTTTTTCACTGTTTCCTGTTTCATTAAACAAAAACTTATTTGTCTCAAACCAAAGCATCCTTAGCTCTTGAGATAAAGAAACAATATTAGTTCAGTAATTTTTTTTTTTAAATCTTTTCAGCTTTAACATACCGACTCTTCCTTCTCAAGATGGCACGTTTTGCTGTGTTTTGATACCGCTTCTCAGACATGAATGCCCTGAGCTTTCACTTAACTTTGTAGAAAGCTCTGAAGGGATAAAAGACTAAAAACTAAAATTACCAGTAAATGTAATGTTAGATGTCTGACTTTTACTCTGTGAGGGAATAAGGGCTCTGTGTAACTGGGATGGAATTTAATTGCAAGCTTCTCTTTTATTGTGTGCAAAATCATGCCTTTTATTATACCTATATTTTTAATACAGAATTAGTTTTATATATATATATTCAAGACATGATGATGTTTCTGATTTTTTAAAGCACTTATTTAAGAATTTTTATTAGAGTTAACTTTTTATTATTAGTCTGGAATCCACAGCCCGATATGTTTTATTTCTGTTACTTAATTTGTGCAAATAATGTTAAATCTGGTGCAATTTTCGTTGCTTTCATTTTTCTGTTTGGCCAGTGAAAGTAAATGTTTCATTTTCTTAAATAAGCTAATACCATGCTGTGCATGCTTGTAATGCTACAGGAAAATACATGAGTGCAGTAATGCTGATTTATTATGTTCTTAAGTGATTTTTCTTGAATTTCAGTATTCCTGTGTTATATTTTTCAAGAGTCACCATGTGTGGTACAAATCACTTGAATATTGCTTTGGTAGTGTAGGCTCTTATTTCAGAGTGCTAATCTCATTCTAACGTTGCCAGTATTAAGATTTCTTTTCGTGCTATAACCCAAGATCCTGTGAGAGCTGAGTCCCTGGTAGGCCACTTCTAACGCAGTTCTACCAAGGGGGACTCTTCAGTAACAAATCTCAGGATGTTTTGTCTTCTCTTGCTTTTGTTGTGAAAACTTGTGAATTGTAAGATAGCTGTTTTTCTCTCCTTTTGAAAGATGGAGGGTTTCTCAATATGAGGGACAGAAACTGAGGGATTTTAAGAATTAACAGCTCATTTTGGCAGAGCAAGGCAGCGGTGTGAATTGTTTATAGAGTGTGGATAAGGTGTTTAAGTGTTGTGTTGCTTTTTTAAGCTTTTCAACACCTTTGTTAGGGCCTTTGTTACAGAGCAAGCTTTTGTGCATCATTTGACTCGAGGGTAATTGTTTTTTTCATGTTGCAGTTTCCCTATGGGTGTAGCTGCTCTAATTGTATGCTGTGGATGAAAGCTGTGCGTTTCTGCTGCATCCTTTGTGTAGGCACGAGTGCTCATCCAAATGTGTGGTTAGTTGGATGAGGCAGCTGAACTGTCTGAATAATGAACAGTAATTTTAAGATGGCTCAGCTCTTTTAGTGTGATACACCATAGGTCTTACTGTCACCATGAGGGTGATGGTAGGAGTGGGTGTGGAGGGGTTGGAGAATGTGTTGCAGTTGCTTCTTTTGGGAGCAAAGTAGACTTCAGCTGAATGAAACCAACTGTTGAGATTGACAATTTCGAGCTATCATAGAGAATGTTGTGGGAGTGTTGTTTTTTTGTTTTTTTTGAATTCTTCTATGGTACAAGCATCATAGTGTAGATGATCACAACTATTTTGTAAATTTTCTAATCCGGAATATTAATGTAGTTGTAGTTTTCTCTATTGAATTAGAATTTTATTCATGGTGGTGACGGTTGAGGAGGGAGAAGGCTGGGACTTCACACCAAATAGGATGGTCCAGTATGTTTAATAGACAGCAAGTCTTGGTCTCAGGAATTGTTGATGATTTTTTTTTTTTGCTGACATTTTGTGCCTTTCTCTTCTCCAGCCCACAATTATTAAATGTTAGTTCAAGTGAAAGTTACAGAACGCTTTTTTTCAGGCCATTTGACTGTTCTTTTTTTTGTGGTGCAAACCTAAGTAAAGTTACAGAATATCTGTGCGACTGGCGCACTAAGTACATTGATACTGTGTTTCTTTCTTCATGTCGTAAAGTCTTCTAGGCAGAATTGTGGTTACTATTTAGAAATTCTGTTTCTTAATAAGCAAGCAGATAATAAGTGGTTTGTTTCTGTAGGATAGATTGTTCTGTAAAGATACTCAAAGAAATAGGGA